ATTGTTCGCGCAACCCCGAGTCTTTGTCGTGTCGTGTCCTTGACCTCTTGCCTGCAAGTGGCAGCCTGCCATCTCCCAATCGGCCAGGAAAATCACGGCATCATTGCCAGCATCAGCATGACGTGTCATCGCCATCATCATCATCATCATCATCACCATCATCATCACCATCTCATCATCATCGTCATCAGCGTCATCATCATCAATTTCCCCGAGCTTCTGTGCAAACCTTCTCACATCCCATGCTGGCTGCGGTCGACAGGATGAGATCGTGGACAACTACAAGCAGCTCGTCGAGTTGAACCCTAACCCCTAAACCCTAAACCCAAGTGGGGGAGGGGGACGGGGATGGGGGGGGGGGGAACGAAGCCCCCCCAGCTCCCAACTCCGCAAGGCCATCCTCCCCCCCCCCCCCCCCCCGCAAGAGATAGAGAGATCTATGGGTAGTTCTCCAAATGAGGGCCCCTTTTCAAATCCGTATATATAGTACGGCACCTTATGAAAAGGACCCAAAGGGCCAAAGGGAGCTTAATCTAGGGAGCTACCCAGAAACAGATGCTGAGAGGCCTCGTATCTTAGTCAGTAGGCTCTAAGACAGGCCGAGGCGCTTTGGTCGAAACTACGGGCCCTAAACCCTACACCCGTTTGGGGGCTTGGGGCAAGAAATGGAGTTGTAGGGCGCCTGGTCGCCTGGGTGCAGTTTCGGTTTTAGGAGTTTAGGAGTTTCGGGATTCCCCACTGAAAGTCTTAAACATGAATGAGCATGCCGAGCATGTGCCGGGCAAAGAGGGAACCGTGGGGGTCGAGTTGCCGAAATTTGTCAGGTCTCAGCGCAAGGTTGCTGTCCCGGTATAGCTAAGGTAAGGAACACCAGACAAAGTCAACATCAGTTGTCATTTAGGACCCAGGCCCTTCCTCCCTTTTTTTGGCACCCTTGTCATTCCTAGGTTCCTCTTGGGTCTATTCATAGCTACTCTATCCCTAAGCCCTAGACCTGAAACCCCTAAGCTGTGAGGCTCCTGGAGCAAATCTAGGCCTAGTAGTAGAGCAGGTAACCCTTAACCTTTTTTGGGGTAATATAATCCCCTTACAATCTGAAAGGTTCACCTTGAGTTCCCCCAGGTTACTGGACGACTAACCCTAAACCCTAAACCCTAAACCCTAAACCCTAAACCCTAAACCCTAAACCCTAAACCCTAAACCCTAAACCCTAAACCCTAAACCCTAAGTAGGTGGTCAAGGGGCAGGGTCGAACAAGCGGAGGTACTGGCTAAAGCAATACCATGACCGACTCGCCGCTCCGTCGCTGCTTGGCAAACTTATAGGGTTTAGGGTTTAGGGTTTAGGGTTTAGGGTTTAGGGTTTAGGGTTTAGGGTTTAGGGCAGTCAACAGGAAAAACGGGTGAAAGTTCTGGCTAGACGCCGAGTTCAGTGGCAAAAGGGTTTAGTGAAGTCACCCGGGATTTCGTCCCCTCCCAAACCGGTCTCATAGGCAGAGCTGGTGATTCCTCAAGCTCCAGCAATACCCTCCGCCTTCATCATCCAAGTTACTAACCCTACTTACTATGTGAGAGGGGCTTCCAAGTAAGTCCATTGCAGACCCCTAAACCGTCTAAACCCTAAACCCTATTAGAAACCCTAAGCCCTAAACACTAAACCCTAAACCCTAATCACTAAACCCTAAACCCTAACCCTAAACCCTAAACCCTAAACCCTAAACCCTAAACCCTAAACCCTAAACCCTAAACCCTAAACCCTAAACCCTAAACCCTAACCCTAAACCCTAAACCCTACAGCCATATGGAACTTGCTTTCTCTAAGCCGCACTTGACCCGGGCGGTCTGCGGTCTTAGGGTTGGGAGCCCCTGAGTTAGTTTAGGGTTTAGGGTTTAGGGTTTAGGGTTTAGGGTTTAGGGTTTAGGGTTTAGGGTTTAGGGCTTCTGGGTAATAGAGTTACCTGAGGTTGGCAGTCGTTCCGGCCTCAGTTACCGGAGTCAAAAAAGGGGTTGAGGGCAGAAAGGGGTTTGGGGTAATGGGGGGCCTCCCCTAAACCCCTAATCCCTAAACCCTAAACCCTAAACCTCTGTTGCAGGTACTCCTTCGACGAGTTTTTCGTCGACTTCAAGGCTGCGACCCTGGACTATGCCCGTTGGGCCCTATGGCTGCAGAATATCTGGAACCCCTTTAGACATGACCTGGGTTTAGGGCTTAGGGTTTAGAGTTTAGGGTTTAGGTTTTCGGGTTCAGGTTTAGGGTTTAGGGGTTACCGTTTAGGGTTTAGGGTTTAGGGAGGCCCTTTGGGCTCCTCCCAGAGAATGCTGCAAACAGAGTTTAGGGTTTAAGGGTCTTCAGCCTGTCTAAGCGTAGTCATAGGGGGCCCTTAAGATGGTCCCTTACCTCCTGTAAATATTTCTGAAGTATGGGCCTGTGGGTTGTGCAGGGTATATAAGGGGTAATATGATAATAGCTTTTCCTTGAATTAATTACTCATAATTTCATTTTATCTATTCATTTTTTGGCACTATACTAATTAATTATAACTCGTGTAGTGCCAATATGAGAAGTCCACTTTTAAGGGTCCATGCTAAGGGACCGTGTAACTACCCTAAGAGCCTGGATGTCATGGTTGCTGTGCAGTGGTCGGATGCCATTCTGCCGAGCATGCGGACGCAGAGGGTTCTTGATTTTGCCCTAATCGCGGCGTAGGTCACCTGTAATTAACCTGTTTGGGGTAATATAATCCCACAGGTAAACCTTGAATTCCCCCAGGCTACTGGACAACTAAGTTAGTGACTGGGTTCAAGGTTTAGGGGTCCCCCTTTTTGGACTTTTGACGAGCTCTGCCCTGAGGTTTTTGCTTATCGATTGGTGGGGGACACGCCCGCGAAGTTTCAACAGCGCGCAGACAAGGTGGATGTTCCTCGCAAGCACGGCCTGCACCCCCTCATCACGAAGATTTCCCGAAACCCTTGTGGCTCAATGAGCCACCCTGTCCCTACTAAACTACTTGTAGGATGTCGAGTAATGCCTTGCTAACACAGGGCAGCCTTTTTATTCTGAGGCTGCTCGCTAAAAGAGAGCTTCGTTCCTAAGCCTTCGCCCCTCAACTTCATTAAGGGCCCACAAAAAACCTTGGTTTGGACGGTTTGGGCGGCCAAGGCGTGCGTGGTAATTACTCTTATTTAAGGAATGTACCTCTACATCAAGAATGATCCTAAGGTCATGTATTCAAGCCTAAACCCTAAGCCCTAAGCCCTAAGCCCTAAACCCTAAACCTCTTGTAATTCCCCGAATCGAGTGCCCACCCTAGGTGAACTTGGGCTTCTTCCGCCGCCACGTGCCGAGGCGCAGCACGTAGTAGCAGCTGTTTTCTGCAAGAGTTTAGAAGCAGCTGTGAGTCAGGCAAGGGTATGCCCTAAACCCTAAACCCTAAACCCCAAACCCCAAACCCTAAACCCTAAACCCTAAACCCTAAACCCTAAACCCTAAACCCTAAACCCTAAACCCGAACATCAAGCCCAACCCCTCCCGACCCCCGCCACGTGGTCTGGCAGGATCCGCTGGCTGCTGCAGCTGGTGGAGGAGATGACGGTTAGGGTTTAGGGTTGAGGGTTTAGGGTTTAGGGTTTAGGGTTTAGGGTTTAGGGTTTAGGGTTTAGGGTTGAGGGTTTAGGGCTCTCAGGGTTTAGGGTTCAGGGTTTAGGGTTTAGGGTTTAGACTTCATAAGGGGGCGAAGAGAGGTCGAAGCCTACATTAAATCGAGGCATCTTGCCTCGGGGCGCATGTCTCGCGTTCGGTATGCGAACACATGGTACTCGCACTGTCCGGAGTGTTCCTCGTTATTGAACCGTGGGGTAAGCAAGAGCCTGAAACCTTCTTTGTCGCTTACTCGGAGGTTCATGGGTAGTGTTAGAAGTATCCTTAACAGGGTTACAAGAAAACTTCATACGGTAGTTATAAGTATAGGCTTATCAGCACCCTAAATTATTTTTGTAAGTACCCTAAATATGGCTATAAGACAAGTTACCGTGCACGTGCTACCCAGGGAACCTCCAAGGAGGCGACGAAGCCTGGAGACCCGGGGTCTATTGGGCTTAGGTCTTAGACTACTAATTGCTTAAGAACCCCTACAAATAATGATAATAATAATAGTAAATTAAATAAACAAATATATATATATATATATATATATATATATGGTAGGGGCACTGTGTTGTCTATGGCAAGTCTCTAAAACGGTGGATCTTTGGGGGGGGGGGGGGGGGGGTAGCATATATATATATATATACATATATATATACACACATTACATAAAAATACACACTTCCATATAAGGGCACTATGAGGATCATCCTCTTCCATTTTTGCGGAGGACCTTAAGCAAACAGTAGCAAACCCTAAACCCTGAACCCTAAGCCCTAGACCCTAAACCCTAAACCCGAGGCCCTAAACCCTAAACCTACCCTTTTGCAAGTAGCAGTAGAGTGCTTCCTGCCGGCGCCCCCGCAATCTCCGCCTTGCCAGGAGTTCCTCCCGGAAGCCGAAGCTGGAGTTCTGAGCGAGAGCAGGGCTAGTTTAGGGTTTAGGGTTTAGGGTTTAGGGTTTAGGGTTTAGGGTTTAGGGTTTCGGGCTAGTGCAGCCAAGCAGCGTCGTTTTTCTAGACCGGGTGCTTGCTCGGTGGTTTCCCGGATTCACGGTCAACGCTTCAAGCAGAATGTGCTAAACCCTAAACCTTCAGAGCTTCACGCACCGGCGTTTTCCACAGACGGATGGTGGAAGCCTCCTGCAAGCTGCGAGGCTTGCTTGCAAAACACATCCGTTGGGGGCCCCTTCTCGAGAACCCAAAGAGCCCAACACCCATTCAGGCAGGAATGGATACCAAGGATCCCTTTCTGGTTTAAGATATATTCCTTAGCCCTGAACCCTTAACCCTATTCCTTAACTAAGTGTTTTAAAGGGCTCTTTGCAAATCACAGACCAGTGCTTTTGCCTCGATGCAGGCCCATCTCGCTCGAGCCCGGGGCCTCAGTGGAAGCGCCCGTGGGCTCTTGGAGGTCTTGTCAGGGTTTAGGGTTGAGGGTTCAGGGTTCAGGGTTTAGGGTTCAGCGTTTAGGGTTCAGGGTTTAGGATTTAGGGATTAGGGTTCAGGGTTAGGGTTCAGGGTTTAGGGTTCGGGGTTTAGGGTTTAGGGTTTACGGATGTGGACCCAAACCCCCTTAGTTAAGGAACGCACCTTAATAACTTAAACCAACAGGGAGTTTGTGATGATTTATTATGGTTTCTTTCGTTACTCACCCGGGAGTCGCCGCATTTAGGTATCCCTCAGTCCCTCAATGATGGGGGCGTGTTTCTTTTGGGAAGGAGGCCCTTATTACCAATTGCTTAAGACCCCCCCCCACAAAAAAAAAGACAAGAAACCATCTTCCTTGTAAGGGTAACAATATATATATATATATATTTTTTTTTTTTTTTCACCTCCCCCCCCTTTTGGGGCTCTTTCTGAAAATTGCTTAAGAAACCGAATATTATGTTTTATCCTTTTGGGGCTATTAAGCAAGTAGTAGTATTCTGCTTCTGAAGTCGGGCCCTCTTGCATAGGCCATCGTGAAGGGTGAGTGTGGAGGTCGGGATCTCGGCAAGCACCTCTGCCCGTCCCTAAACCCTGAACCCTGGGGACCCTGAGAACTCCTAGAAAACCCTTAAAAACCCAAAACCCTAATTCACACACCCAAAAACCCAAAAAAATCCCTTGAAATCCCTGAACACTAAGAGGAGGGAGGAGGCGGAGAGGGGGAAATGGAGCGTCTTTCGTTCCTAAACCCAAAGAACACCCTGAACCCTAAAATCTCCTAAAGACCCTAAAATCCCCCAAAAACCCTAAAATCCCTAACAACCCTAAAAACCCTAAACCCTAAAACCCGTGAAATCTGGGGGGGATTCTTTCATCTTCGGGCCGAGGCGCGGGCCGAGCTGGATGCGCTCACGGCCAGGCTTGTGAGACGCCCGTGAGTTGCTAGGGTTAAGGGTTTGGGGTTTAGGGTTTAGGGTTTAGGGTTTAGGCTCCTAAGCCCTGAACCCTCAGCCGCTGCACCCGGCGTTTTTAGATGAGAGACCTTCTGAATCCTGTATTGCCGCTAGGCTTTATGATGAAGTTTAGGGTTTAGGGTTGAGGGTGTAGGCCGTTCCTAAGTTTAGGGTTGGAAAGCACTTGCTGAGAACCCAAGGAGCCGATATACTTTTTAAGTAGGGTTGTAATCAAGGGGGGCATTTGGCTGGAGTCATCTTGATGTGGACGCATGTAGGGTTTAGGGTTTAGGGTGTAGGGTTCTAGATCCCTCCCCCTCCAAAACAACCACGAAGAGACGCTTTCGGGTCCTGCACGTCTTTGACGAAGGCTGGCGGCGCACCCACGTGCGGCAGGAGCCGATACGATGCAAAGTGCATCGAGCAGAATTCTCGCCTGAGGGTCGTTACATGGTCCCTTGAAATTTATGGTCCCTTAACCTTGTTTAAAAGGTTTTGAAGTCTGGGCCCCTTGGGTGTTATAGGGTACATAAGGGGTCCCCCGTTTAAGGGCCCATATCAAGGGACCATGTAACTAGCCTTAGATACAGGGCTTGGGGGGGGGGACACCTTGCCATATGGGGGTTTCCCAAAACAGGGGTGCCCCTTCGGGGGGGTCCTTTTGTCAGGATGAATTCTTTGGGGTGTATTTAAAGTCCCCTATTTTTGGAAATCCCCATACAAGTCTTCATATTTATGGGTGAAAAATGCTTCTAGCTCAATGCAGGGCCCGTATATCTCGTTTTGCTAGAGAGTCGCTCCTTGTAGGCAGTAGGGCTTATAGGGTTGAGGGTCCGAGGTGCAGGGATTTGTTGTTGCCGTTGCTCTTCCATCTCCCAGGTCTTGTTCTTGCAGAGGGGTTTCCTATAGGTGGCACCTCTCATATGCATATCCCGCAAGATCTGCAACCCATGCCTTGAGAAAGGCTTACCTAAACCCCCCATTAAAGTATGTAAAAATAACTATCCTTTTACGGGTCCTGGGCCGGTTTTTGCAGACTTTGGGGGTCCAGGTAAGCGGCAAGGGCCAAAACAGCAGAGTCACAAACACCTATCCCACTATAACCGAACCAAAAACCCATTCCAAAAATGCCCCGACCCACAAAAGTTTTTTGACACACGTGCTACGTCAAAAACACACTGATGCGAATAGTAAAACTAGCGGAAGGAGTAGGGTATAGGATTTAGGATTTGGAGTGGGGTTCTCCTTCTAATCATGCATACTTTAAGGCGGAGCTCCTAGTAATCAACTAGGACCCAGGGTAGTTAGGCTCTGATTCCCTGTGTTTTGGGTTCAGGTTCCCTTATAACCCCCTTTAAGCCACAAAGGGCACCCTTTGTATTCCTAGGTTGCTCTTGGGTCTAGTAAAACCCTCAATATGGTTCCTTACCTCCTTCAAAAAGTTTTGAAGTACGGGCCCTTAGTTTGCACAGGGTATGCAAGTGGTATATAAGGGGTGCCTTCAAGGGCCCTTACTAAGGGACCATGTAACTACCCTAAACCCTAAACCATACACCCTAAACCCTAAACCCCAAACCCTACACCCTAAACCCTAAACCCCAAACCCTAAACCCTCCGTCGTAGCCGCAGGAGATGCCTCTGAGGTCGTGAAGCTGCGGCGCCAACTCCAGGCCAAAACCCTAAACCCTAAACCCTAAACCCTAAACCCTTTCGGTTTGGCAAGGCAATGCCTTCTGGTTTTACGGCTTTAGGGTTTTCAGATTGGGATGTTCCGCCTTATACTAACAGTCCTTAATAGGGTTTTTCCTAAGGGGTACTGTAATCCCGACTAAGGACTGTTAGTATAAGGGGGGGACATCCCAATTTAAACCGTAGCCACTAGTCAACCCAGACATCCCAGAACCCGACACTTCCTACCCAGAGAACACAATCCCCGCCCACCCCGAAACCCGATTTCCTTAACCCTTCGTTATAAGAGCAAGCCACAGACCATCAACCATACCTGGAGGTTGCTGGATAGTGAAAAGTAGTGTGACGAGTACCGTGAACAGGGTTATAGGTATTGTTGGCATACTTCTAGCCTTACTTCTACCTCCCCAAAGGAGCCTCCAAGTAGCAACCTCCAAAGCAAAGCTAACTTTGTAGGCCCTTTGTACATATTTAGGGTTCAGGGTTTCGTCTGATGTTACCACTTATCGGGTGTAGAAAGAATCTTGTCCAGGAATGTTTTTCAGAGGGTTGAACGCTCCAGTCAATTATTTAAAATAATTTCTTCAGAGTCCCCCGGAGATCTTTGCAAGGGCCCTGCACCTTTTAAGCACAAATTTTGAGGGTTTGCCGAGGGAGCCTAATACCCGCAACGAGGGCATAATCAAGCAGAAGACAGGCGTGAAAGACTCCAGTCGCAAAGCCCCGAGCCTTCTCTTGACTTCAACAGTACTTGGCGTGCACCAGGCGGCCACTTCCGAGTGCGGCGCGCGACAGCGCCAGATTGCCGCCCGTGCACCAAGTCATGCATCTTCTACAATTCGCACACACGCATGTATAGATCAAAAACATGTGTATATATATATATACACATAACAAAAAGTTACATATACATACATATATGCGGACCCATAGATTTGTGGGAGTTTCTTCACGCTATGCTGTTCACCGCAGGCTTTGCTTTGAGTATGCCTTTTTGGAATGCCTGCCAGAATGGGTCAGAAATCTACTTTTTGCTGAATAACCCCCTAAAAACACAAGATGATGATCCCTCTATTGCCCTTATGTTATCAGGAAGTAATTTAAGAGGGGTGGGGGGGGGGTTCTGAAGCAATTCGCAGAAGTGCAGGAGCCAACATAGTTCACAATGCTCATTTTCCTATGTCAAAAGCTTTATATGTATAGCCCATAGTTCCCATTTTTGCTACCCTAAACCCTACAGAAACCCTAAACACTAAACCCATGTATTAGGCTTTCCACGAGCTGAGGATGCGGATACCGCGATCGACCGATCTTCTGGGCGGCTTGCTACGCTCAGGTCATCTGCCCGGCACCGCCCTCTTGGGTTTAGGGTTTAGGGTTTAGGGTTTAGGGTTTAGGGTGTTAGGGTTTAGGGTTTTGGGTGTTCGGGTTTAGGGTTTTGGGTATCGGCCCTCCAAAGTCCGTTGCTCAGAGGGGTACTTGGAGGTTCATGGGACTTAATATCCACTTATAACTGGGCTCATAACCCTACTTATAATTGGGATAAACCCCTATAAGGCCCTTAGGGGTATTATAAGTAGGGTCATAAGTACAGTTATACTTGGTTAGTAATTAAGTACCATGAACCTCCAAGTATAGGGTTTAAAAAGTTGAGGATTTAGGGTTTAGGGTATCTCTGCAACATCAGGAGCTCTCAGCCCTAACTCTCAAACCCTGCTACAGGAGCCAAAGACAATTCCCACGCCGCCCCCTGATTACATGCCCCATACAACTACACTTGGATGTTTATTTGGGTAGTTACAAGTAGTAGGGTTAGTACGCTAAACAAGGTTCTAGGTAGAGGTACAGTACTTAAAACCCTACTGAGAACTACCCATGAACCTCCAATCAATAGCGTTTAGGGTCTAAGCCCTGAACCTTCAACAGCACATGAACAGCACATTCTTGGAACAAGCCAGAGAGCCCAATAGTGCTTTCTGCACTTTCTGGAATTCGGGAACCTACCTTAACTCATAAGACGGACCCCTATATAAGAACAGTCAGAGTTTAGGGAACCAGAGGAACGGCCCTACCCATCTCCCCTTCGGGGTTTCCTTTTTGGCCTTTCTGGCAGGGTCCGGACCCTCATGCGCCCTTGACTCGAACACTTCGCCTTCGCGCGCCGTGTAATCCGGCTCATGGGCACATGGCCCTTGACCAGAATTTGCGGAAAGCAGCAGAGAGGAGAGCGGCATTCGGAAAGTGACTGACCTGAGGGTGTGGCATGGCGTATTGAGCACTCATTGTGCAATCGGCACGACATGCTGTGTATGTTCAGCAGGTCAAGAGTCAGAACCGCAGTTGACAGCAATTCTTGGTGCCATTGTATACCCTATAAACCCCAAACCCTAAACCCCAAACCTAAACCCTAAGCCTTAAACCCTAAACCTGACCGGCTTTTGAGGTTCATGGCTTAGGGTCTACGAAGCGATGTTGAGCAAGCGAGCAGCTCGGAGCCTACAACGTCGAGCCCGAAACCTGCCGCTGCTGGCCAACCCTAAGCCCTTTCAGGTTTGGGGTTTAGGGTTTAGGGTTTAGGGCTTTCAACGCCCTGAACCCCTTAGGCTGCAGGGTTGACAAAGCCCAAAACCCTTGAGTGTTCAGGGCTTGCCAAGCCCGAAACCCTCTAGGGCCTAAACCCTAAACCCTAAACAGGGCCGAAGCTTTCCAGAATTTAGGGGGGGCAGCTCAGTTTTTCAGCCAACGCCATGGCTGGTCGTCCGAGCAGCACTCGGCCCCCAGTGTCTAAGGCAGCCACGGCTTCAACTTTCGGGGTTTAGGGTGTAGGGTTTAGGGTTTAGGGTTTAGGGTTTGGGCACGATACTTGGAGGTTCATGGGTAGTTGTAAGTAGGGCCTCTACTTATAATCCTCTTTGGGGTACTTGGAACCCTACTGCGAAGCACCCATGAACCTCCAAGCAGGGACTGATAGAGCGTACCCTGAACAAGTTTCCGAAGATTATTTTCGCTTTCTCTTCGGCGATCCTCCGAAATAGCTCAAGCAAGAAGTGTACATTGAAACCATTTTGCGACCATGTGGTTGAAGGAACATTCCTCAGTTAAGCCATTAAGCCATGGTGGCATGAAAGGAGCTCTGGGTTTGGGGGGACTGTTGGCCATTGTGTCGATGTGGATGATGGAGGGCTTGTGCAGGGTCCCCCACGCACCCCTACCGCTGGGTTGCCCTAGTTACAAGTACAGTTTATGAAGGGGCCCTATAAGTTACGTCGGATTATACGTGTTATCACAAGAACAGTTAGTACAGTAAGGGGTGGCAGCCTTCTTCCTGTAGGGCTCTTGTGACTTTGCAAAAGTCTAAGACTCTTAAGGCTCACAGGGCGTGGGGGGTTTGAGCTGGAATGACTGACCCCCTGGTTCTTAATCCTTATATCCCCCTGTATATACCCTTTCAGGGATCATGCTGGGCCCTCATTCTAAGAGAGCCAGAAGAGGGTTAAGAAGGGTTCCCTTTTAAAGGGTCCCCCCCTTATCCTACCTATAGGACATTCCCTTCTAAGAGCCAGTAAGATGAAGGTGCGGAAGCTAAAGGCCTGGTTATACGAGCAGCCTAGGGGGGGCAGCTCACGCTATTAATCATCTTGCTACCCTATGGAGCCGAAGCTTTCGCACTTTGCGTGTGGGGTTCTTTTCTTGCTATGAAGCCATACCCTAAGGCATGTACCTTATTATCATATACTTGGGCCCCAAAGTCCCTACATAGGAAGTACTTTAAGGCTCAGGTATTCCCTATTCAGGTACATAGACCCTCAGGGATACAAGCTTGATCTTCAGGGCCGCGCTTCCAATGCTGGCCCGGCACGCAGCGCCCGCGGCCGTCCCCGCGCGAGGCGGCGATGAGAAGGGTACGGCGTATACTGCGCTGTCAGGGGTGAATCAGGATTGTTGTTGTTGGTTGTTGCTGCTGCTGTAGCTAGTGCTAGCTGCGAGTGCTAGTAGTTGCTAGTGGCTAGTGCTTGTGCTTGTGCTAGCTGCCGCTGCGCAGCAGGCTAGCTTCAGCGCAAAGTAACTCTTCAGCAGGTCCTCCTCGATAAAGCCGCACCGTGCCCTCGACGAGCTGCAGGCCCCGGAACGCACGAGTCTCCTTGAAACCCTAAGGGACCATGTACCTATAGTGTTTTGGGTTTAGGGTTTAGGGTTCCCGTATAGTAGCTTTAGGGCCCAAGTGTATACTATATAGGTACATGGACCCTTAGGGAAAGGTGAGCCTGCGCGTAAGCGTTTGTTTTTGCGACCCACTGCACCCCTTCTCGCAGGACCAGTGTACAGAGCTCAAGTGCCTCATCAACAAAACCACGGAGGTCAGACAGGGTTTTGATTGTACTACAGGTGCCACAAAAGGTTCCAATTCAGCACCAGACAACGCCTACGTAAATACAGTCATTATATACAATACCCGAAATTCTAGTTAATTGGGCCTTAAACCTTCAACCTTAAACCCCCCATAGTATTCTGGGTGCACAGGCCCCGGTATATTGCAGGGTTTTGGGGGCAGAAGCTTCGGAGGTTTCGGCTAAAGCTGGCTCACTCCATGTTGGAGTGAGGCACAGAGGTGGCTAGATGCATCCATGGAGATACATGTGCAAGCCTACTAGGTGCACAGGTGTGAGTAGGGGAGGGGCATGGGAGGCAGGCAGGTGCATGGTGAGATGTGTTTTCTGTGACAGCCTGCTTCTGCCCACTCTGTTTGGTCGTCTGCCCGACATTGCCTGACCTTCCCTAAATACACTCGTTAGTAGGCTGATGAAGTCGTTGCCCGCACAAGGGCTTCAGGAAGTTCTCGCAGAAGTAGTTGTGGCATACCCCCAAGCTCCTTCTTGAGAAGCTGTTTCCGCAGAGACAACCTCCCACCCCCCCCCCTCCCCCCGGCAAGCCCCCATTATCCCCCATAAGATCATATTAGGTCCCTTTCTGGGAGGGCATTAACCCTAAACCCTAAACCCCAAACCCTAAACCCTAATTGAGAAGGGGAGTGCAGCCCTCTCACGTTGCCGTGACTCATACACTCACGGTGTGGCCCCTTTTGCCCGCAGGACAATCTCCGCGCCCGAACACGGCTGATGGCTTTGGATAAGGATCCGCTGGTTTAGAGTTTGGGGGGCCTGGTGTTTCCTATACAGGGAGAGGCCACCTAGTTTTCAGTGGAGTTACCAGGACCGTCAGGTGGGTCCTAGGCATCATATCTCGAACTATAGGGTAGAGTTAGTTTGCCGCGTAGTTGCCACTTCGGGATATTTGTTACTTTCTCCTTATTGGCTTATCTTATAACCCGGTGGGAACGCCCATTCTAAAGGTAGGGCGGCCAGGTCTAATTTCTTCGGACTTTTGTCTTTTGGGATGTGTTTTAGGGTTTATGCTGAGGGTTTATGGCTTGGTAGCCCGGTGGTGCCCTTTTCCCTTCAAGGTTCCCTTGTAAAGTAACCAACCCAAGAAAGGACCCTTATTGCAATATGGTTGCTCGGCGACCTCGACTGGCGACCTCGATGGTTAATCCCAAGAAATAGTGAGCATTTTGTCTGGTTTTTATGTGGAGTAAAAAGTGATTGTACACTGTCAAGCACATCCGAGCGAGTGGTTCTGTCAGTGGGCATCGCCATGAGCCTCGTCATTGGGCCGTGAAAGCTCTTATAAGACTTGTAAGCCCTCAACCCTACACCCTGAAAGCTTCTGAAAAAGGAGCTCAACAAAAGGGAACGGCTTCTGCAGACCATGGTCAAGCCACTCGGGTCTCATGATGGGCTTGAGATTGAGTACTTCTTTGGTGCAGAAGTTGGTCACCAGGAGGGTTCCATCTGGTTAAAGGGAGCATATCTTCGAGAAGTGACCATATGGGGTCAGTATGCATTGGTTGCACACAACCCCAAACCCTTAACCCCAAACCCCACACCCCAAACCCCCAACCCCAAACCCCAAACCCCAAACCCTAAACCCTAAACCCTAAACCCTACTGCTAGTATAAGGGGGAACATCCCTGGATCATTTCAGGCTCAACCAAGCCGGCGTGGGCTTGGGCCTGGACCTGGTCGAAAAGCTCAAGGACTCGGTAGCCCAGTGGTACCCTTTTTTTAGGGTTTAGGGTTTAGGGTTTAGGGTTTAAGTTTAGGGTTTAGGGTCCCCTTATACAGTTACCAACCAAAAAACTTGGTGCCCTTATTATAATATGCTTGCTGGGCTACTTCGAGGAGGAGAGGAACATGCTGCCGCTCTACCGGCGAAAGGCCCGGCCTGGGACCCTCCTTTCCTACAGATACTTACTTGCTACAATTTTATGCGTTACACCTACTTGTTTCCACATGTTTATGGCCTACACCTACTAATTACTACCAGTTTTATGGGTTACACCTGCTAGTTAAGGGTAGCTACGACGAAACTGTAGGTAAATAGAGTCCCGGAGCTTGCGGAGGGCTATTGCTTCAGGCCGAGAGGGGCACATCGAGCCTAACCTTGAATCCCTTTTTGGGTTTAGGGTTTAGGGTTTAGGGTTTAGGGTTTAGGGTTTAGGGTTTAGGGTTTAGGGTTTAGGGTAGCCTGCCGAAAGCAGGCACAAGACCTTCAGCAGCAAATCGAAGAGCGAGAGAATGACCAGAAAGCCATGACCCTCGCTGCAGCTCTAGAGGCTTAGGACGGTTTAGGGTTTAGGGCTAAGGGTCGTGTGCAGGCAGGAAATTCCAGGAGACCCGTTCTACAGTAATTTGGACTCTGCATGAGTGAGTCGAGGGTTGTCGGGAATCTCAGGGTTTAGAGTTTAGGGTTTAGGGTTTAGGGTGATGACATCTTACCGGCTGTGTACGGGCTTTCAAAAGTTGACGGCCTGGGTTAACGACGAGGCCCGTTTTCTCGCAGACCGCCTTCTTGGTACACTCCACCCTAGAAAACCTGTGTGACTCATTTTATGCATGCTGTGCTGCATACGTTGCCAGTGTTCCCTTCTTCAACCCAAAACCCTCTGAAATCTAATCCGAGGAAGCGTGATCCCTTCTTTACGCGCATCATAGAGCTGCAGATTGAATACGCGCCCGAGCTCAGCTTGGTCTAGGGGAGCCGAAAAGTAGGTGTTGCAGGGTTCCGAATGGTTTTAGGGTTCAGGGTTTAGGGTCTATCGGGCTTAGGGCCGGTTTAGGGTTTGGGGTGTAGCCCCGAAAAGTAAGCGTTTCAGGGTTCCGAATGCCGGGCTTGTGGGCAAGAACTAGGTAACTAGGTAACTGGGGAGGCTATTGTAGTTTCTTGCCTTTCTGGGCCCACGATCGCCCCTGCAATGGATCATAGTTGGCTACCCCAGACTACGAACCAGGCCTTAGGGTTTGGGGTTTGGGTTTAGGGGAAGTTTAGGGTTTCGGGTTTAGGGTTTTGGGTTCATGGTTCAGGGTTTAAGGTTTGAGGTTTCTGCGGTTTAGGGTTTAAACAAATTTTTTAATTAGAGCCTGGACAGGCCCCAGGTCTCAAAGCCGCAAGCCTTCAGCTCCAGTATCCATAACCATAGAAGAAGAAGCATAGAAAGCAGAGGCAGCAACTCCCGCCACGACACTAGCACGAAGACACGCGCCTGCAAAGGATGGAAGCACTCCTACGCTACAGCAGCCCACGACTCTATCCACCAAACCCTGGAGGGGTTCATGGGTAGTTTTCAGTCGGGTCGCAAGTACCCTGAATAGGGTTATAAGTATAGCTACCATAATACTTGGAACCCTACTTCTACCTACCCAAATGAACATCCAAGTAAAGCCTACCAGCCTAACCCCCAAACCCTAAAACCCTAAACCCTAGGTACACCCCACACCCCACACCCTAAACCCACTATACCCTAAACCCTAAACCCACCAGGTGTCCTGGAAACAGGAAGCAAGCCGGCTGGAATCGCTACTGTCGGAGCCATCACCGGAAGCCTCGGCCTGAGCGTGAAGGGATCAGATCTTTAAAATGGCGGTTCAGGGTTTAGGGTTTAGGGTTTAGGGTTTAGGGTTTAGGGTTCAGGGTTCAGGGTTCAGGGTTCAGGAGAGGGATTCTAGGTACGCCCTTGGGACATGTAATATTTTGCCTCATTGGGTTGAAGCTTACTTCTCCGACAGCTGAACTTTAGTTTTTTTAGGTTTCCTTATTTACTGGGAATAACAAAGTTTGACATTTTTCCCCCGTGGCTATTGGAGAACTAAGCAAGATGATACAATTTGATTACCCGAAACCCTAAACCCTAAATTAGGAATATTTTGTCAGAGGGTCCTAAGACCCCTCCTAGGATAGGGCCTTAAACCGTAAGAAGCATCCCTGAAGGAAGACGGGCCGGAGGGGTTTAGGGTTTTGGGTTAGGGTTTAGGGTTTAGGGTTCAGGGTTTATTAGGGGTAGGGCAGAATGTTTTTCGTCTTGAGGGATTCGGAAGCATGAGACCTTGACGATGACCCCCTTAACTAAGGAATCGACCTTAAACTTAAACCCTATATATGATCCTTAGTATGATTTAAGGTCTATTCCCTTAATTACGGGGCTTGAAGGGCTCTTTGGGTATGGAGTGCTTGCAGCTAAACCCTAAAGCCTAAACCCTAAAAGGGAACCTTCCCTCGTCAGGCGAACCCGGCTGCGAAGCAGGAGGTTGACGTGCACCAGCAGAGGCTCGAGAAGCTGAAAGAGGCGCCTTTAGGGTTAAAGTTTAGGGTTCAGGGTTGAGGGTTTAGGGTTGAGGGTTTAGGGTTTAGGATCCCCAAAAGAGCCCTTAAAACCCCCAAAGTAAGGAATACACCCTTTAAAAATCATACTAAGGATCCCTATATCGTTTACGGTGTGTTTTTTCGTTAAGGGGTTTTGGGCTCTCTGGGTTTCGGGTTTATTCCAGAAAGGCCAATACAGCGTGCTCCATGGCAGAACAGGGATGTTGTGATCCCTCTGAGTTTGATCTGAACCAGTTTTAAAGCTGTCATGCGAACAAAAGCCCTAAGTAACCCTAAACAAGGAACCCTAAAACAAAACCGAAGTCTAAGTCACCCTACGCACGCATCGGATTCGGGCTGCGAGTCCCTGACCCTCTACCCTGTCTTCTGCCAGGCCTCAGATCAAGCAACAGAAGCCCCCAAACCCTGTATGCTACAACCCTATTACCCTATAACCCTATCACCCTATAACCCTTTTAACCCTATAACCCCAAACCTCAAGCGTCATGCGAGCAGAAAATACTTGTATATTTGTTAACCCTGAAACCTAAACCCTGTTCCGGGTTTCTACTATAGCTACCTTTATACCTAAACAGTATAAACTTTTTCCAGGGACTACTCCAAAGCAGGGGACGTGGTGCTAAACCCTAAACCCTAAACCCTAAACCCTTAGGGTTTAGGGTTTAGGGTTTAAGGTTTAAGTGGCAGGCCCTCACCGCCGCGCAGAGCAAGCGTGAGCAGGTGGGCTTATGTGTTCGGAATGAGGACAGGTTCAAGATGGGTTTCGGGCTTAGTGTTTAGGGTTTGGAGCTGAGGGTTTAGGACTTAGGGTTTGTGGGACTTAGGGCTTAGGGTTGTAGGGTTGCGGGGGTGTAGGGTTGCAGGGGTGCAGGGGTGCGGATTTAGGGACTGCAGTCATGGGATGGTAGGCAAGGCCACGTGGGAGGGCTTCGAGCTGAGTGCGACATCTTCTTAACAGAGCGATTAGGGGTTTCGGGGTTACCTTTTCGGCTCAAAATGTCCGGGGTTTCGTGGCCTTTTGGGGGCCTTTGCACGGTTCCTGAGTAGTTGCAAGTAGGGTTTTAAGCTTGGTGACTCTACGTAGAATCCTATTTAGGATACCTTCTAGTTTCCCTTATCAACCGCCAAGTGCCTAAAGCGGGTTTAGGGGTTTAGGGGTCTAGGCGTCTAGGGGTTTCGGGGTTTAGGCTTTAGGGTTTGGAGTTTGAGGTTTAGGTACATCTCCTCCTGCGCAGGTGGCTGAGGAGCTCCAAGATATGCAGGCGTGGCGGCTGTGGGCCATGGACCTGTTTGCACAGTCGGTGTACCTCAAGCGCTAAACCCTAAACCCTAAACCCTAAACCCTAAACCCTAAACCCTAAACCCTAAACCCTAAACCCTAAACCCTAAACCCTAAACCCTAAACCCTAAACCCTACCTCCACTTGGGGGTTCCCAGAGACTCCAATGCCCCTTAGTTAAGGAAGATTCCTTAAACCATACAAGGAACCCTCTTATACTCTAAGGAATATTCCTTAATTAAGGGGTATTGGAGTTTTTGGGTTCATATGGGTAGTTATAAGTAGGGCTATCAGTATGGTACTTATACTCAAAGCTCTATTTAGGGTGCTTAGAACCCTACTTGTACTTACGCTTCATAAGGAACCAAGGGGGTAGACGGGAGGGAGCTGTAAGGGGGCCACATTCCCTTATTGGGGCTTATTCCCTCATGGACACTCTGCTTTACAGGGACATTGGTACTAAACATGCTGGTAGACTTTCTTCGTTTCACGGCTTGCTCTTGAGAATGGTCTTGTGTGCATCCAGGAGTGCATCCATGAGCGCGCCGGCATGTGAGCTGCGCCTTGCTGGGCCTACTCGGGCCTTCCGCTGCCATTCGGCTAGTGAAGAGGTCCTTAGATTCTTGCACTCCCGCACCTCCTAGCCACAGGCCTGATACTTCCATGACTCCGAAATCTCCGAAACGTACGAAAAAAATGCGCGCCGAAAGCGTCCAGGCGCGCAGACCCACCTCTTTACTCTCCCGGAACTGCCGTCCAAGACGGCTTTCTTCACTGTTGTGCCCATGGCGCACCCGCTCGGTATGGAGTTCCCGACGAGGCGTTCTTCGGGGGGTCAGTCATCTACTAATTGCTTAAGAAGGGGTTTAGGGTTTAGGGGTTTAGGGGTTTCAAGCTTTAGGGGTTTTAGGCCTAAGACACCCGAAAAAGTTAGGACTATTACTCTTTATTAAGGGTTATATCAATCATCTACTAGTTGCTTAAGACACCCGAAAAAGTTATGAATATTCTTCCTTACTAAGGGTTATATAGGGAATAAGAAACCCGAAAGAATTTCGAATGTTCTTCCTTATGAAGGGTTATATAGGGAAGATTCGGGGCTCTTCAGCAAATAGTAGTCATGGGCTTCCCTACCACCCGGGTTTGGGGGTTTAGGGGCTTAGGGGTTTAGGGGTTAGGGGTTTAGGGCTTAGGGGTTTAGGGGTTTAGCCTAAGACACCCGAAACAATTAAGAATATTCCTTATGAAGGGTTATATAGGGAATATTCGGGGCTCTTCAGCAACTAGTAATCATGGGTTTAGGGGCTTAGGGGTTTAGGGTTTAGGGGTTTAGGGGTTTAGGGGTTTAGGGGTTTAGGGGTTTAGGGGTTTAGGGGTTTAGGGGTTTAGGGGTTTAGGGTTTAGGGGTTTAGGGGTTTAGGGGTTTTAGGGTTACCCCCTCTATACTGCCCCCCGCCCCCCCCGGAAGGTTCCCCCCCTGAAAATAACCTTAACTAGGCTTAGATTTGCCCACATAGCCTTGAAGATGGGGGGGGAACCTACGGGTGTGGGGGGGTTGGCTCTCGGTACCTAACCTTGTATTTTTTTTACGATAGCCCCCCTGAGGATTTTCTGGTTACTTTACACCCAAGGGAGCATCAAAGATGGCTTTCTGGTTACTGAACACCCAAGGGAAGAGTATAGTCCCTGATCGCCAAGAGCTCACTTGACATCGACCTGCGGGAACCGGAAGTGATGCCACCTTCCCCTAAACCCTAAACCCTAAACCCTAAACCCTAAACCCTAAACCCTGGACTCTTTGCACCTTTGGCGAAACCCTGGACGCCCTGTATAAACCCTAAGCAAGGAAGGACGACATGGAGGAGTTCATGGCGCGTAACCGAACCGCAGTTTCACAGGGTTTAGGGTTTAGGGTGTAGGGTTTAGGGTTCAGGGTTTAGGGTTTAGGGTTTAGGGTGTAGGGTGTAGGGTGTAGGGTTTAGGGTTTAGGGTTTAGTGAGTGGGCAACTTTTCAGTGTTTGGCTTAGGTGCTTGGGTTAGTTGCCTGTATCTATCGGTTTCGGGTTCATAGGGTTTAGGGCACTTAAAATCCCATTTCCGTCGAGAGAACTCAGGCATCAGGTTGTTTATGCAGAACTTGGCTTCTTCCAGAAGTGCGCATACTTGGCCGGTTCATGGGTAGGTATAAGTAGGATTACAAGCATGGAACCCTAAACCCTTAACCCTTAACCCCTAAACCTAGACTTGCAACCCTCTTTAGGGCATTGTATCAGCCTACTTGTAACTACCCATGAACCCGCAAGGAGTCATGTCCAGGAGCTACGCATGACTCTTTGGCATTTGGGCGGAGGATAAGGCTTGCGGGGTTCCTAACCCAAGATGCCCTCCACTACCATCCGAATGGGGCCTTTGAAGATGAAAGGCGGTTGAGGGTTTAGGGTCTGGCGCTGTGGAATCTCAAGGCCCTGAAGCGAGGCCAGAGGTTGGGGTGTAAGATAGAGTTTAGGGTTTAGGGTTTAGGGTCTAGGGTCTAGGGTTTGGGGTTTAGGGTTTAGTGGCCCTCTAGAGCCCTAGACCCTGCCAGCGCAATACCCTTGATTCAGAAAAGTTACCTTCAACCATATGCGTCTCTGCCGATAATTTTGTGTGCGTTCCTTGACTGAGGGTTTTTTGGGCCTTTTGTTGGGGGGCTTTGTGGGTACATCCTGTCGCTGAGGTACCGCCGCCATGCTCCACACGCATGAAAGACCCTCGGCAGGGTAAAAGATAATGCCAAAATACAGGATTTTTTCCGGTGTGTTTCGGTCCTTATTTTGGGTCGAGGTGGGGCTAGTTCCAAGGTACAAGGCGCGCCCGAAAATGGAAAATAGGTATGAGTCTCTCACTGACTAGCTAGGCCCTTGGGATGTTTCATATTTTCGGTTATTAAGAGGATCATATTTAGGATTTGTTCAGAGGTTTTAAGGGCCATCCTGGCAATGATTATGCTAAGTATCGTATAGTCCCTCACCTTCGGGAGCAGCGTTAGGGAAGTTCAGACCTCCGAGTTTGAACCCTAAGCTGGACCCCAAACCCTAAACCCTAAACCCCTTAAGTACCCGAAAACCGAGCCTGGAGCCGGAGCCCTAAGCCCTATAAACCCTATAAGCCCTATAAACCCTCTAACCCTGGAAACCCTATAAACCCTCGAAACCCTCTAAACCCTGTAAACCCTAAACATCCCTAAACCCCAACCCCCCCCCCCCCCCCCCCCCCCCCAAATTTGACCGGGAACCGCCAGCTTGCAAGAGGATGGTAGTGCAGCCTGCCTGAACTTTCATGGGGGTGTCTATTAATAAACATCAATGACTAATTACAAATGGATATATGTATATAGATGTATATACATACACATATGTATATATATATATGTATATATATATATATGTTGCATGGCATGTGGGCATGGGCTTGAAGACAAGAATGGGAGCTGCAATCACAAAAGTCGGCTTTCCAACTCGCCACGGAGGGGCCTTCAAGTACCCTAAACCCGGGGTTTAGGGCAAGTTTAGGGTTTAGGGTTTTGGTTTAGGGTTTAGGGTTTAGGCCAGCTACGCGGGTGCAAAAAAGCCCTAAACCCCCTTATCCCTCTAGCATTTGCTTAAGAACCTTTCGTGTTTTAGGTCTCGGGTTTAGGAGAACCCCAAACAAGTAAAAGATAGTCATTCCCCTAAGTTGCCCTTACAAGGAAGGTTGTTTGTTTGGGGGGGGGGGGGGGGGGCTTTCTTCAGCAAACGGTAGTAGTCAGTGTAGTCCTACAGCCGCAATGATGACTACTGAGCCCTGAACACCCAACCCATTTGGGGCTTACAGGGAGGGCTTAGGGTTTAGGGTTCAGGGCTCGAGTTATGGGTCAGAACCAACCTGCAACCAATCTTCGGGACGTTGTACCTCTGCTTGTAGCTGGGAGCCTCTCTTCCACACAACTCAAGGACCCCATGCGCTAATCCGCGCTGCTTGATGCTTCACCTACTATTTGCTAAAGAACCCCCCCAAAACAGTGACAGATGATGATCCCTGTCTTGCCCTTATTTAAGGAAGTAGATTTGTTGGTTCCTTTTCCCTAAACCCTAAACCCCAAGCCCTAAACCCTAAACCCTAAACCCTAAACCCTAAACGGGGGGAGGGGTTCTTAAGCAATTCGTAGTCACTTGCGCCAAGGACAGATCGCGTCTCAACAAGAGGTGATTCGGGAGCTGCAGGTGGATCACTAGGATGCCTTCTGGGATGTTCCCCCCTTTATACTAACAGCTTGGGGTTTAGGGTTTAGGGTTTAGGGTTTAGGGTTTAGGGTTTAGGGTTTAGGGTTTAGGGTTTAGGGTTGGGGTGTGCCCCACTGATACTAAACAAAACAGTCCTTACAGTAGGGATTATAATAAGTGTACTATAATCCCTATTCAGGCCCGAGCACAGCAGCGAGCCCTGCCTTTCTTAGTTCTTGCTTTCCGCTATGGACTGGCCGCTCCAATTTTCATGCTGGCTTATCGACTTCAATTCTGGACATGGTGTTTCCCGCTGCTAAGGTTTGTTCTCACGGGCCGTTAGGGGGTCGGCCTATTTTTACCTCCTCGCCGCTACAACGCTTTCTCCGACGCTCCACTGAAGCTGGCGATGACTCGAATCATCTTCACACCGAGGGCCAATTACTTCAGAAGACCTCTTTTCATGTGTGGATCTCCTCCGGCGCACGACAGTGTTGATAGCCCAGAGAGCCCAAACCCCCCCTCTAAGGATGGAGCATACCTTGAACTACATAGGGATCCTTAGTATGGTTTGAGGTACATGTCCCAATTGGTGTATGGCGCCCTGTTGAATATTGCCTTAGGGGAATTTGTGCCCTATGCAATCCCTTAAACGGTTATATCGCGCGACCCAAGTCCAGCCCGAAAACGCACGCTCGGGTAGGCGTGCTTTATCTTCGGGGGAGTGGGGTGCAACCCCGAAACCCTTATACACCCTAATTTTATATGAGCCTCCCAAAAGCGCCAAATACCCTAACCCTAGAACCCAAAAATGAACTAGCTGTTGGCCGTCAGTTTGCCGCTAACAAGCCCTCGCTGAATTTCGGCGCCCAAACAACTTGGAGGTTCATGGGTAATTACAGGTAGGGTTATAATCACTGTACCCTAAATGAGTTTATACGCCAATCAACTCCCAACAAACCCCCCCAAGCCCCACACCTAAACCCCAAACCTCAAACCCCAAACCCCAAGCCCTAAGCCCCAAACCCTAAATCCTAAACTTTAAGCACCTGAACCCCAAAACCCCTAAACCCCTACAACCCCAAACCCTCAACCCTAAACCTTGAACCCTAAAATCCAGCTCAGAACGAAGGTGCAGGTTGCCGAGCTCCGCGGATGTGAGGTCAAGGACTGCCCCCTAAAAGCTTAGGGTTTAGGGTTTAGGGTTTAGGGTTTAGCGGGCTCATGGGGCCTAGAGGGGTTCAGGGCTCCCCAGAGATTCCAAAGCCTTCTCATTTTAAGGCATAAACGGGCTTGTAGTGTTTGGCGGCTAGAGCTCCCAGAAGGAACCAGACCCGTGCGCAGAGGAATGTTCCTTCAATTGTATAGCTGCTACTATTTGCCTAAGAACCCCCAAAAGATATGAGTCTTTCAGAGGTTGCCCTTATAAGGGAGAGCTTTTTCTTTTTGAGGGGGGAGGGGGGGGGTTCTAAAGCAAATAGTTGATAGGGAGCCCGGTGAATTAAGCTACATTCCTTATTTAGTGTTGAGCCCCCTGGGGCGCAGGGCTTCGGTTCAGGAATTGGTGTCTATCGGGTTTTAGTGTGTATGTATATATATATATATATAGATATGTTTTTTGTTCTCTGGGAGGTTCATAGGGTTGAGGGTGAAGGGCCTAAACCTTAATCTCTAAGGGTAGTTACATGGGCCCTTTCTGTGGTGGTTGTATAGGGCACATAGGGGGTATATATGGTCCAGTGCTCCCCGGCCCCCCCCTCCCCCCCCCACCCATGGTCTGGAACCCCCCCCCCCCCGTGGTTTGGTTGGGGTTGGTTTTAGGGTTCGGGTTGTTTATGGTTTTGGGTTTGAAAGGGTTTCAGGGTTAACCCTCCCCCCCCCCCTGGTGGTGTGGTTGTGGTTTGGTTTTACGGTTTAGGGCTTAGGGTAGGGTTTGAGACCGTAGACCTGGAGGGGGGGGGGGGGGGATAAACGCCTTACACACATGGGTTTTCCCGAGGGCGTGCTCCCTCAACCGAAGGCGCCGGACCATATATCGGGATGTTCCCCCTTATGCTTGGGGATTCTCGTACTCCCGATTATAACCCCTATTAAGGACTGTTTGTATGAGGGGGAACATGCCAACATGAAGGGGGTATGTAAGGGGTCCCCTTGTAAGGGCCCATACTAAGGGACCATGTAACGACCCTAAGGCCCTCAGGCTTGTTGTGCCAAATTAGGAGGTGCTGAGGGTTTAGGGTACAGGGTTTAGAGTTGAGCTTGAGGAGAGACCTCGATGAACCAGGTTGAAGAATGCTGGGGCTCTTATTGCGGAGGAAGGCCTATTCCTTATGTTTGTGGCCATATACCTTAAATCCTAAACCTTCAGTCCTAAAACCTGGGCGCTAAACCACAGAGCACATGAAGGCACTTTAACAAAAGCGTTTTCTTCGCCAGCATGTGCGAAGACAAATCACCAGTTTTTTCGGGGTTTAGGACTTCAGGTTTACGTTTCATGTGGAGAACAGGTTTCCTAAGAGTTTCTGGACACCATCGATTCTTGCCTGGGTCCGGGCACAGCATTTGGGTGGCTTGGAGGTTCCAGGGGCACACACGAACCCTGAGTTCCCGTTCGTGCAGGATGTTGATGGCTCATGACCACAGATTTGATGCTGCTTACCCTAAACCCTGAACCCTAAACCCTAAACCCCAATAATAGAGCGTGGTGCTGAGTGCGCTTTTAGCTGAGCGGCGGCATGTGCCTCCTCACCTGTTGCAAGAACAAGGGCCTTGTTGCATGATGTAGGGGGGTTGGCCATCAGGACCCTAGGCCCTAAAGCCTAAACCCTAAACCCTAAACCGGCCACCAGGACTTCCAACATCAAGTGGAACCGGCCATCAACGCCCCGGAGGCTAAGTGGGAGGAGGGCCCAACACAACCTGGACCTGAATTCCTACTTGGGGTGCCGTTCTTGGGCTTAGTAAGTCTACCTGTAGGGTTTAGGGTTTAGGGTTTAGGGTTTAGGGTTTAGGAGACTTAGTAAGTCTACCTCGTTTCCCTAGAAAGCCCTGAAATAATCCCCATAACCTAGCTTGCTAACCCTACTTACTAAGTCAAGAGGGCTTCCAAGTACACCCTCTGACTCCAGCAGTATATCTGGAGTTCGTCAGGTGGGTGGTTCCCTTAGACGAGCTTCTGTCATTACCTAAAACACTTTCTATCCTTTCATAGAATAAAGCACTAAACCCTAAACCCTAAACCCTTCTGTAAGGGCACCCAGCTGGTCGCACCCTTGCCTTGAAATCTCCTCAGCCAAAGCCCAAGTTTGCTTAATCCCGCAATATGGGGACCTTGGGTGGGGGGGGGGGGGGTATTGTTTAAATTTTGTAGGGTTTAGTGTTTAGGGTTTAGGGTTTAGGGATAGAGACCTGGTTGCGACAAAGGACTTTGAGAAATCGTTGAGGTGAGAAGACCTGCTACCAGAAGGGGTGTCTTTGTGCCCTCGCGGCTGTTGCAGTATCGGCGGGCGAGGGGTTCGATAATGAGGACATCTGCTCCCCCTCCTTAATTATAACCTACCAATTGCTTAAGACCCCCCCAAAAAAAACAAATGAAAAAACAAATCGTCCTTATAAGGGTAATATAAGGATTTTTTTTTTTTTTTTTTTTCAATTTTTTGGGGGTTCTTAAGCAAAAAGTAGTAACGGGGGACCCGTTATAGTCACAGTGTGATGCCAAAGGACCAAAGGATAGTCATGGGGTCCAGATTGCGTGCTGACTAACCAAATGGTCCTCACTCGACCACTGGACCTTCCACTCTGCACACCCAGAAGTTCCTGTTACTCCTACCAACTGAAAGAAGTTACAAGACGGTTTTATACTTTAAAACTGGCGGGGGGGAGGGTGGACTCTGCGACTATTTGCTTAAGAACCCCCCCCCCCCCGCCAAACATTAAAGATAAGAAATCTGATATTGCTCTTGCATCTGTAAGGAAGTATAATTTATCTTACGCAATTCGTGGTCTACGGGCTGTCGCTGATGTCACTCAGCAGGCGGCGATCGTCGCCGTGCCCGTGATGGAGGATCGTCGTTTTTGGTTGGGTTGGGTGAGTAGGGTGAGTATGTTGGTCTTAGTAGCTGAGTGAGTATACTTTACACTTTTTGGGATACCATCATCCCCTATAGAACTGAAAGTGTACACTTCTCTGGGGCCTATGCACTCAGCAACTAAGGGTTATTTCTCAAACTTTGCGTACCCCTCGAGAGTACCCCACAGAAGTACCGTCCTAGTGTAGGAGCCCTACTTGAGAACCCCGTATCCGACATTTGAGCAATGACAGCGCTCATGCCTCTTCCCCTTGCAGCAGCAAACTTTGCTATGTCTCGGGGCTTCGCCCTAGATGGTGATTTCCTCCAAATAAGGAAGGTGCCCCCCATGTGTACCAGCAATCACGGAATTGAGACCAAAGCCCGAAGCCTCACACATCCTTACACGCAACATAGAGCCTTGCCTGGTCTAGGAGTTCGATGACCGAAGCCCTCACTTAGGAATTGGCTCAAGGCATCTCACTTTTGCCGTGGATGTGATCTTGGACACCAGACATCCCTGTCCAATTTGTGTTACTTCAGGGCCTGCTCTCAAGGCTCCGGGTTTCGGGTTTAGGGGTCCAGGGTTTAAGGGTTTTTAGGGTGGAACACTGTCGCTTGGATACGCACGCATCGCAAGTTTCAGGTTTAGTGCAAGTCCGTTTGGTATCCAGTCCAGAATTGCCAGAGATGCGATATCACAGGCCCCGCCCGAGACACCAACTACTCAAAGCAGGCACAGAATTCCGAGCCTCTGTTAGCCGAGCTTGCTAACAGACTTCAAGCCCTAGACCCCAAACCCCTACACCCCCAAACCCCAAAACCCTATACCCTAAACCCTAAACCGCTGAACTCTGAATACCCTAAACCCACTTGCCAGGACGAGGGCCTCAAGAAAGCGCACACGCTCGCTTCTGCGGAGCGGGGGGGAGGGGGGTTTGGGGGGTTGAGGGTTTGGATGTTCCCCCTTATGCTAGCAGATCCTTAATCGGGATTAGACTACCCCTCCTAGTAGAATCCCTACTAAGGACTGTCAGTATGAGGGGGAACATCCAAAGTTGAGGGTTTGGTGTTGTTGGGTCTTCGTTGCTCTTTCCTGGCAAGCCAAGAGTCCTTTCGGTCGCTCCTGTCGCGTGAGTACAATACCCAGGTATACGGGTGCACGGATGCTTTAGCTTAGTTGTAGAGTAGGTGACGTTTAACCTTCTTGGGGTAGTATCATCCCCTTGTATTCCCAGCTTAACCTTTAGGAACCCCGAGCTACTGGACAACTAAGTTAGGGTGAAGGGGGCAACCCCAGATCCCAGATCTGAAAGGAGGAGCCCCCCCCAGTTACAAGTCCTAAATTGGGTTCTAAGGATCCTAACTTAGGATATCCTTCCCTTGACTCTGGTTACTTTCGTAAGGGGACCCCTCCTTGTGCCCTAAACCCTAACCCTAAACCCTAAACCCTAAACCCTAAACCCTAAACCCTAAACCCTAAACCCCTAAACCCCTAAACCCCTAAACCCCTAAACCCTAAACCCTAAAACCTGATAAGGAAGCAACTCCTCGAGCCAGGAGCCGCCCCCGGCATCCTACGATCTCGACCAATCCATGTGGGACGCCGTGGCGTGGCGGAAGAACTTTAGGGTTTAGGGTTTAGGGTTTATAGGGTTAATAGGGTTAATAGGGTTATAGGCTTAATAGGGTTTATAGGCTTTATAGGGTTTATAGGGTTTTTAGGGTTCATAGGGTTTATCGGGTTTATAGGGTTTATAGGGTTTACAGGGTTTATATTGTTAATGGGGTTTATAGGGTTTGCCGGGTTTCTAGGGCTTATTAGGGTTTAGGGTTGAGTGTCAACACGGGTTTCGGCCCAGACGTTTAAGTGTTTTTCTGAGTGCAGGGTCGTGCCGCAGCGCAGCTTGAGCTTCTTTGAGTCGCACCTGCTCAAGCCGAAACCTTTTCTTGGTTAGTTCTAGCTTCCCATATATAGTAACCACCCCTCCCCCCCAAAAAAAGAAAAAGAAAAGGCAGCTTGTAATAGAATTGGCCTTGCAAAAGAGGCTAACTCGGAAATCCTGCAAATGATTGTTTGGTTTGGGGTTTACCGTTTAGGGACTCATTCGGCGTTCTAAGGCATTACCTTAATGAAGCCATGTTGGAAGATCTGGGACAAGGCTGCAAACGATCCCCCACAAAATCCCTACGTCTAAGAGTAGTTACATCGTCCCTTAGTATGGGCCCTTAAAAGGGGACCTCCTATGTACCCCTTATATACCCTATACAACTCAAGGGCCCCTACATCAAAACCCTTTAAAGAGGGTAAGGGACCATATTGGCCCATGCAACTACCCTTCAACTACGTTGCGATACAGCTACTATGACTTGAGATAGTCCACGAACTGGTTGGTATGGAAGGGGCGGAAACCCTAAACCCTGAATCCCCAAAGCCTCTTAGGGCGGCAAGCAGCCTCTTGGCCGCCAGCCCTAGGCAGTCTTGCTTTTCTGCCACCAGACAGCGTGGACGGACAAGGTGATCCTTTGGACAGGACGCGCACATCACAAACCCTGAACTCTAAATCCTGATGGCCCGATCCCTAAGCCCCTGCACCCACAAGCAATGTCAAGCAGCCTAAACCCGAAGCCCTACCCCTTAACCCTAAACCCTAAACCCCAAACCCAAGCGTTCAGTGTTTCCAAGATGTATCTCGGGGGTTTGTGGTTGAGGTCGAGCCTCCTGGTTCGTTCGAGTGTGTGGGGATAAGCCCTAAACCGTCCTGGGAGGCCGCGGCGCTCAGAGGGGTTTAGGGTCTAGGGTCTAAGGGTCTAGGGTTTGGGGCGGGGCGGGGGGCGGGTAGGGTCTAGGGCCACATATTCCCAGAAGTCCTGTCACATTTTGGCATTGGAAACGCAACCAAGCCCTCAAGAACACGAGCATGCTAAAACCTAGAAGGCTCGCAGGACGCATCTTCAGGAAAGCTCTTAGAGCCGCGTCCTTAGGGTTTGAAGGTTCAGGGAGACTGGGCGGGTTTGGGGCCTCCCACAAATCTACTGAACTTGCACGGGTTGTCTAGGCTCATACAGGCAATCGGGGGCATACTGCAGAACTGGAAACTTGATTCCAGATCAAACCCCGAGGAAGATCGGATAGTGAGTCCTTCCGAGTCTCAAGGTGTTGGGTTTATCTGGAAGGCCCCTGGGATGTCTCTTGTTTTCCCTTCTTGGGTATGAGATGATTGTATGTTGGAAGCTTGTCCATCCCAGTTTTTCTTTCTGAAGCAAAAGTGTTTTAAGAGCTCGTGTTTTGGCGAAAGGTTTTTAGGCTTTAACCCGGGTTGAGGTCTCTTTTTCAACACTAGGTTTTGGGTCTCCTCAAAAGGTTTAAGGACCCATTTGTTTTGGAATTCAACTAAGGCACCGTAGACCTTGTAAACCCCAAAACCTAACTAGGGTTTAGGGTGTAGGGTGTAGGGTTTAGGGTTTACCCTAAACCCTAAACCCTAAACCCTAAACCCTAAACCCTAAACCCTAAACCCTAAACCCTAAACCCTAAACCCTAAACCCTAAACCCTAAACCCTAAACCCTAAACCCTACTCCATGCGCAGGAATGATTGTCAACAACAGCTTGCAAGTCGCTTTGCTCCTGACGGTGTTCTTCGACATGCTGCAGAACCCGTACTCCTCCACGAAAGCCGGGGGGGGGGGAATTACCCTAAACCCTAAACCCTAAACCCTAAACCCTAAACCCTAAACCCTAAACCCTAAACCCTGAACCCTGAACCCTAAACCCTAAACCCTGAACCCCTGAACCCCTGAACCCCTGAACCCCTGAACCCCTGAACCCCTGAACCCCTGAACCCCTGAACCCCTGAACCCTAAACCCTAAACCCTAAACCCTGAACCCCTGGACCCCTGAACCCCTGAACCCCGGAACCCCGGAACCCTGAACCCTAAGTTTGGGGTTCAGGTGGAGCGTGCCCACCACGAGCCCATCGCCACACCAAAGTTCGTTTTTCTCAAGCTCCCCTCCTACTTAACCTCCAGTATGTTCTGTACCCTTTCCATGGGATCTGGGTGTTGGGTAGCTTGGTCTGGTTCTTGCCGCGCCCCGAGGCGCCCAATACCTCTGAAGGACTATTTCTTCACCACAGGCTCCCAATTCTCATTGAAGGGACCCCCCCCCCGTGTGCAGCTTAAATAGGGTTTATTTGGAAGCTGGCACTCGTGTTCACAAGAGGAAAAAAGGCCCCAAAACGTATACTCATTTACAAGAGCCAACTTCCTAATAGACCCTATTTTAGGTCCTAGGGGGGGTCCCAGGCCTGAATTAAATATGAAGGCCCCGATTTAAATATGAATATTTAATTCTGGAGCTTCATATTTAAATTATTTAATTCGGGCCCGGGAATTAAATAATTTAAATAATTTAAATAATTTAAATAATTTAAATAATTTAAATAATTTAAATAATTTAAATCCTGGAGGGGGGGGGGGCGGGCCTCCTCCCGCAGGAGGAATTAAATAATTTAAATATGAAGGCCCCGAATTAAATATTAATATTTAATTCGGAGCCTTCATATTTAAATTTTTAATTCTTCCTGCGGGAGGAGGCCCGCCCCCCCCCCCCCCTCCAGGATTAAATTATTTAAATTATTTAAATTATTTAAATTTAAATTATTTAATTCCCGGGCCCGATTTAAATAATTTTAAATATGAAGGCCACGATTTAAATATGAATATTTAATTCGGGAGCTTCATATTTAAATTGTTTAATTCGGGCCCGGGAATTAATAATTTAAATAATTTAAATCCTGGAGGGGGGGGGGGCGGGCCTCCTCCCGCAGGAAGAATGAAATAATTTAAATATGAAGGCCCCGAATTAAATAATTAATATTTAATTCGGGGCCTTCATATTTAAATTATTTAATTCTTCCTGCGGGAGGAGGCCCGCCCCCCCCCCTCCAGGATTTAAATTATTTAAATTATTTAAATTATGTAAATTATTTAAATTAACTAATTCCCGGGCCCGAATTAAATAATTTAAATATGAAGCTCCCGAATTAAATATTCATATTTAAATCGTGGCCTTCATATTTAAATTATTTAAATCGGGCCCGGAAATTAAATAATTTAAATGATTTAATTAATTTAAATAATTTAAATAATTTAAATATTTTAAATCCTGGAGGGGGGGGGGGCCGGGCCTCCTTTTGCAGGAGGAATTAAATAATTTAAATATGAAGGCCCCGAATTAAATATTAATATTTAATTCGGGGCCTTCATATTTAAATTATTTAATTCTTCCTGGGGGAGGAGGCCCGCCCCCCCCCCTCCAGGATTTAAATTATTTAAATTATTTAAATTATTTAAATTATTTAATTCCCGGGCCCGATTTAAATAATTTAAATATGAAGGCCACGGTTTAAATATGAATATTTAATTCGGGAGCTTCATATTTAAATTATTTAATTCGGGCCCGGGAATTAAATAATTTAAATAATTTAAATAATTTAAATAATTTAAATCCTGGAGGGGGGGGGGGGCCTCCTCCCGATTTAATTCGGGGCCTTCATATTAAATATTTAATTCCTCCTGCGGGAGGAGGCCCGGCCCCCCCCCCTCCAGGATTTAAATTATTTAAATTATTTAAATTATTTAAATTATTTAATTCCCGGGCCCGATTTAAATAATTTAAATATGAAGCTCCCGAATTAAATATTCATATTTAAATTGTGGCCTTCATATTTAAATTATTTAAATCGGGCCCGGGAATTAAATAATTTAAATAATTTAAATAATTTAAATAATTTAAAGAATTTAAATCCTGGAGGGGGGGGGGCCGGGCCTCCTCCCGCAGGAGGAATTAAATAATTTAAATATGAAGGCCCCGAATTAAATCGGGAGGAGGCCCGGCCCCCCCCCTCCAGGATTTAAAATATTTAAATTATTTAAATTATGTAAATTATTTAAATTATTTAATTCCCGGGCCCGAATTAAATAATTTAAATATGAAGCTCCCGAATGAAATATTCATATTTAAATCGTGGCCTTCATATTTAAATTATTTAAATCGGGCCCGGTAATTAAATAATTTAAATGATTTAATTAATTTAAATAATTTAAATAATTTAAATATTTTAAATCCTGGAGGGGGGGGGGCCGGGCCTCCTCCCGCAGGAGGAATTAAATAATTTAAATATGAAGGCCCCGAATTAAATATTAATATTTAATTCGGGGCCTTCATATTTAAATTATTTAATTCCTCCTGCGGGAGGAGGCCCGGCCCCCCCCCCTCCAGGATTTAAATATTTAAATTATTTAAATTATTTAAAAAAAAATTATTAATTCCCGGGCCCGATTTAAATAATTTAAATATGAAGGCCACGATTTAAATAGAATATTTAATTCGGGAGCTTCATATTTAAATATTTAATTCGGGCCCGGGAATTAAAAATTTAAATAATTTAAAAGATTTAAATCCTGGAGGGGGGGGGCCGGGCCTCCTCCGGTTTAATTCGGGGCCTTCATATTTAAATTATTTAATTCTTCCTGCGGGAGGAGGCCCGCCCTCCCCCCTCCAGGATTTAAATTATTTAAATTATTTAAATTATTTAATTCCGGGCCCGAATTAAATAATTTAAATATGAAGCTCCCGAATTAAATATTCATATTTAAATCGTGGCCTTCATATTTAAATTATTTAAATCGGGCCCGGGAATTAAATAATTTAAATAATTTACATAATTTAAATAATTTAAATCCGGGAGGGGGGGGGGCCGGGCCTCCTTTTGCAGGAGGAATTAAATAATTTAAATATGAAGGCCCCGAATTAAATATTCATATTTAAATCGAGGCCTTCATATTTAAATTATTTAATTCCTCCTGGGGGAGGAGGCCCGCCCCCCCCCCTCCAGGATTTACATTATTTAAATTATTTAAATTATTTAATTCCCGGGCCCGATTTAAATAATTTAAATATGAAGGCCACGATTTAAATATGAATATTTAATTCGGGAGCTTCATATTTAAATTATTTAATTCGGGCCCGGGAATTAAATAATTTCAATAATTTAAATAATTTAAATCCTGGAGGGGGGGGGGGGCGGGCCTCCTCCCGCAGGAGGAATTAAATAATTTAAATATGAAGGCCCCGAATTAAATATTCATATTTAAATCGAGGCCTTCATATTTAAATTATTTAATTCCTCCTGGGGGAGGAGGCCCGGCCCCCCCCCCTCCAGGATTTAAATTATTTAAATTATTTAATTCCCGGGCCCGAATTAAATACTTTAAATATGAAGGCCACGGTTTAAATATGAATATTTAATTCGGGAGCTTCATATTTAAATTATTTAATTCGGGCCCGGGAATTAAATAATTTAAATAATTTAAATAATTTAAATCCGGGAGGGGGGGGGGGCCGGGCCTCCTTTTGCAGGAGGAATTAAAAATTTTCAATATGAAGGCCCCGAATTAAATATTCATATTTAAATCGAGGCCTTCATATTTAAATTATTTAATTCCTCCTGGGGGAGGAGGCCCGCCCCCCCACCCCTCCAGGATTTAAATTATTTAAATTATTTAAATTATTAAAATTCTTTAAATGTTTTTAAATTATTTAATTCCCGGGCCCGATTTAAATAATTTAAATATGAAGGCCACGATTTAAATATGAATATTTAATTCGGGAGCTTCATATTTAAATTATGTAAATCGGGCCCGGGAATTAAATAATTTAAATAATTTAAATAATTTAAATCCTGGAGGGGGGGGGGCCGGGCTTCCTCCCGCAGGAGGAATTAAATAATTTAAATATGAAGGCCCCGAATTAAATATTCATATTTAAATCGGGGCCTTCATATTTAAATTATTTAATTCCTCCTGCGGGAGGGCCCCCTCAATCAGCTTCATCATCATCATCCTCATCCTCATCCGCATCATCATCATCATCATCTTCATTATCGTCATCATCTTCATCATCTATCATCATCATCTTCATCATCTTCATCATCTTTTTTCATCATCCCCATCATCTCTCTCATCTCCACGGTTGTTCCAATATGTTTCATGTGCATCCTTGACATCAATGATCCCAATCAGCTTCATCATCATCTTCATCATCTTCATCATCATCATCATCTTCATCATTTTCATCATCTTCATCATCTTCATCATCTTCATCATCTTCATCATCTCCATCATCTTCATCATCTTCATGATCTGCTTCATCTGCTTCATCCTTCATCGGTTTCTTATGTTTCATTGCTTCTTGGGGCCCAGGAGGGCCTGGGGCAGGAGCAACTTTGCCGGTCAAAACTTGCCGGGATCCCCTTGGCACCCTGGAAAAGTGATGCAAATACCACACAAAACGGGAAAGGGTAGGAACAACTTTGTCGGTCAAAATTTGCCGGGATCCCCTTGGCACCCTGGAAAAGTCCTGCAAATACCACACAAAATGGGAAAGGGTAGGAACAACTTTGCGGGTCAAAATTTGCCGGGATTCCCTTGGCACCCTGGAAAAGTCCTGCAAATACCACACGAAACGGGAAAGGGTAGGAACAACATTTGCCGGTCAAAATTTGCCGGGATTCCCTTGGCACCCCGGAAAAGTGATGCAAATACCACACAAAACGGGAACGGGTAGGAACAACTTTGCGGGTCAAAATTTGCCGGGATTCCCTTGGCACCCTA